GCAGCAGAAGAAAAAGATATTGATATCTGCACCTATTTACAAAAAATATTAATTTCAAACAATAAACCAAATAATAAAACAAAACAAAAAATTCAACTCCTCAAACGGTGACTCATACAAATTAAACAATTTCATATTTCTTTGACACTTTTGCTTTGATGATTTTTTTAAAGGAATTAAATCCAATGCTTTTATGATGGTTTTCCAGATTATTCTATAGTCTTTTACAGCAGCCAACTCACTTTGTTATACCAGGAAAAGACCTGTTATTTCCCCCACTGTGGGATCAATAAAAATGTGTTTTTAATCTTACGTTTCCCCACCTTTTGCACCAAATTAATCTGAGTTGATCAGCCCTGCTGTTTAACTCTAATGCTGCGTTCACACCGAACGCGATTTCAGCATCAAAATCGCATCCAGCGCTTCAAGTTTGAAGCTTGTGCACTTTGAGGCGCAGGTCAGCTCTTGAAGYGCTGCACGGCAACAGCCTCCCCGCCCCTCCCTCCTCTGTCGGTCTCTCCTCTGTCGGCCCCTGTTTAATGTCGGATGAAATATAGGAAGTGACTTTACTTTATTTACTGAGAGCAAAAGCATGTCACGCTCATCAGATAATTAATTCATAATTAATTCACCAGATAATTCAGAGTAGAGGCTCACAGCTCGCTTTCAGAACCATTTTTGTCCCGAGTCCAGTCTGATGAGCCGCTGCCACACATTGGTGAGGATATCTCCTGTCAGGACACCGACTGCAGGCACTCTGTGTCAGCTAAAGAGCTCCTCTCCATCTGTTTCAGGTTAKTGGACATCATTCAGTAAACTGTCCCGTCGGGAAACATGTCACTACGTCACACAGTGGAGTCTCTCTGATTTGTTGACGCGGCGCGTCGAGCTGCAAAAGTTCAGATTTTTTAACTTCAGCACGTCAAACGCTCAAATCGCGCTGCTCTAATTGCGCTTGACGCGCTGCAGCACTTCCTGACGCTGCTTGAAGCGCGTCCACCATAGACTTTGTATTTAAACCTGATGCTCCTGACACTGAAATTGCATTTGGTGTGAATGCACCATAAGTTTTTCTTTGTAGTTAAGACTGTATCAAATGGCTTCGCCAAAATCCAGTCCACAACATTCAAACTCTGCCATTATGTGCAGCTTGCAACCTAGCTAACTCGCTAGCTGGGACTGGCGCGAGGCTAGAGTGAAGTGTGTCCGCCTTTAACACAAGCAGATACAATAAAACCCACCAGAAATAAAAACTCGATTTGTTGCTAGTGGTTTTTAACAAAGAAAATGCCGCTAAGAGGATTAGGAAAGTCTCTCCGGTTCAGCTCAGAACAGAAACTAAACTAAAAACTGCTCCCACACCAAAAGATCTCTGATTCGCTCATTTCGCTGTCAATCAAAAAGGGATTCAGGCTCAGACAGATCATCCAATCATCATGCAGAATCTGGGCGTCCGAACCTGCCCACTGCTCCGTAGACCCCCCCAGAGATGCTAAGCTTCCGGGGGCGGGACAAAGCCCAGCATTTATCCAATGACTCGTCTCGTTTCGCTGCATTTTTTTTGCCTCACTATGGAAGTCTGTTGACGCTCAGCGTCCGACTGTTAAAAGCTCTGTGAAGCTGCGGGAATGAGGGAGAGGAAAGCTGCGTCGTTACCAGTGATAAGAAGCTGATTCTGAACAAAAGTTGAGCGTGTTGTAGCGCATATTTAGTCACTGACATGAACACACAACGGTGTGTATTTGATCACTTATTTTTTTACATTTTAGGGGAAGCTGAGCTTCCCTTGCCGTCTTAGAGCAATCGCCTCTGATTTGAATGTATTTTCAAAGTTGTAAAAATGCTTGAATTATGAATAAAGTGCTTGAAACTTAACATTCAAACACAGCTGCCCAAACCTGCCAACTCGTACATATTTTGTGCAGCTGACACATTTTAACTTCTCAGTACACTGATACCATTAGTGTCAGCAACTTAAAGTTGCTGACAAAAAAAATGTGATTACCATCCAGTGTCTGTTGCAACGAGCAGAAACAAACAAGAGAAGAACTGGACCAGAAACTGAGCTGCTATACTTTTGCAGTTCTAAACATTTTAGTCTTTTTACTTATTTTTTTCTCTTTAATGTTGGTAAACATTCCTCTTACAGCCCAGAAAACAATTATTGGCAAATATGTAAATGAGATGATGATATCTGGCAGGTTTTAGGAAGCCAATAGCGACTTTTTTTTACTGAGGAGTTTGCAACAGTGGGTGAATATTAATTCAATTACTTATTTTACATTATATGTTTTATTTAATTGGTATTACTATGTAGAAAAATATACTGAAAATGAACAAAAAAACCCAGTAAGTCTGTCTGAAAAAGTCTAATATTTAAAAAAATGGAAGCGTGTGGGAACCTTTTATTTTTCCAGATGGAAATTTCATTGGCGTTTCTAAAATGTTGTGTTCAGAACGTGGTTTCCTGTTGATAACAGCGAACAGTTTTGTTTCCTCAGAGATGAATCAAACTAAAAAGAACTGGTCATTGTTCTACTGTATGTGATATTTTGCCCCTTGTTTCACAGCTCGCTGATACAATCTAAGGTTTTACCTAATTTAAAGGAAAAGAACCCAGAGGACCCCTTCTCAGAAGTGCATGATCCTCTCCCAGAGAAGCTGAGGGCCTCAGTGGTATGTTTATCCTTTAGTCTTCTCATTTTTGCTGAAGAAGGTAATTTACATGACATTGGTTGAAACTTGTGATGAAGGATTTAGTGTTTCTCTGAGTTCTCATGTACTAATGTTTGTTTTTAAATGTGTAGAATGAGCGCCTGCAGTCAGACTTGATCGTCTGTGTGGTCATTGCTGTCCTTTACTTTGCCATCCATGTCAGCACAGTGTTCATAGCCCTACAGGTACAGGAAATATTTCAGCTTTGGAAACTAAATACCAGATATAAAAGATTATAGTATAGGTTTATACATTGATGAGTTTTCTCATGTCTGAGTGGTAATCAGACAGATGGACAGAACTTTGAGTTTTGAAGCAAGTAAAATGTGAACAATAAGATGTCTTGTGTTTTTTTGCTCAGCCTTTCCTCAGTTATGTCCTGTATGCTTTATTGGGGACGGTGGGGTTGCTCAACCACTACCTGCTACCTCAAGTTCGCAAGCAGCTGCCCTGGTACTGCTTCTCTCACCCTTTGCTCAAAACCAAGGAGTACTATCAGTTTGAAGTCAGAGGTAGGTCCTGTTGACTCTCAGCATCTTTACTTTAGAAGTCACGCATGTTATTCAGTCAGAAAAARTTCTCAGCTTCATCACACCCTATTTAGCCTCTTTAGCAGAGTCTGTGTGAACGCAGTGCTCAGCAAACATTTGACATTAGAGAATAAACTTGCTCATTTTGTGATCTGTGTGCGTTCTGAATGAAGTCTCAGCTGTTTGTAGGCTCAAACAGGAGCTACACACAAGAGGATAAGACACATTCATCTATGTTTATATCTATATTCATCTATCACATGCACAGTGTCAATAGAAATAACAAAAACAGAACATTTATTTATTTATTTTACATATAAAATCATCTCATAGTAGAAAATAAACTGTGGGGGAAACCGGAGTACTCGGAGAAAACCGACGCAAGCGCAATGAGAACATGCAGACTCTGCACAGAAAGACCCCAGGTCTTTCCAAACCGAGGATTGAACCCAGGACTTTCTTGCTTTCTTGCTGTGTGGTGTCAGTGCTAACCACTGAGCTGTCGTGCTAAAGTATCTGAAATGCACCCAGGCTGGCTTGGTTGTGTCCCAAAAAAAAACTGTCTTTTATATTATGTGCAGTACATACTTAAAGCGAACACACTTTCAAATCTGCGGGTCATAACTTTAATAAACTCTGGTAGGTAAATTATGTACTGCTTGGTCAAGGCACTCGTACGTTCGGCATCACATCACATGTCTGGGTGGAACATAAACTTAGAACAATAGTTCCTATTGTTACATCCGATACCTGCTCAAAATCCTCATGTTTTCTCATAAATATAAGATCAGGATCTCGTAATTATGAGATCAGAAGTCTAATTTTATGTTTTTATTTGGCATAAGCAATTCCCTTCTTTACTGAACAGCTGGCTTGTAACGTGAAATCTGCTGAGAAATGCAAGAGTCAGTGTATTTTTGTTCTCAATGTGAGACATGAAACAAATGCTRTGAAAGAGAACTTTAGGTTGCTGTTGTTATCCCGGTTCTCTGAGTAACACGAGTGAGGGTTTCACCAAGTCACCCTCCTTGCTCTGGCATTGCGAGGAAGAGGTGATCATTTTTGAATAAACTGTCAGTGCTAGAACAGCCCTATATATACGGCTATGTATAAGTTTGTTTTTCTTTGCAGCTGTGAAAGCTCATATCCAAATAATATTTGAGGTTTCTTCTTTAGAGTGACTCAAATATTTGTCTTTAGAATAACCTAAAGATAGGATTCAGATCAAAAATCAATGGGTTATCCTCATTAAAAAGGCAAACCTCTGGAACCGCTCATGATATCAGGGTCTGGGTATCGAAATGTAGCTTAAGAGCAGAAATCTGAAAATGTACTRAGGTCATGTTGACCAAATTTGACTTAATCCTCAGTCTGATGTGATAGGTCACAATATATTACTTATATATGTGTATATATATACTTTTAAAAACGGCTGTTCTCAGTTTCATGTGAGATCTCATAAAATGTGTTAACGTTCAGCTATAACCACACACCTCAACTCACTGTAATTCTGACTGGGTTGCAGCCATTTTTGGGTTGGCAACATCTTAATTTACGTTGAGATAAAAGGTAAATCAGTTGTAGATGAACGTTTTAAAAAACACACAAGTTGACTACAAGTTTATTATTGTCCAAATTTTAAACAATGATCTTTCAAAATTTTAGTTCAGTGTCAATTTTTCTCAATATCTGTAAAATTGAAACATTAACTGTTTTTATACTGACTAATGTCAGTTAGCTGTGGAGCCGTATTGAATCAAGTTGACTCCAAAACTTATTCAGTTGTAGACGTACATCCAATGATTACTTTCTGACAATTTCATTTAAACCGTTCCAGTGGTTTGTGAGATATTTTGCTAACAGTCAGAGTTGATGCCAACAGTTACAAAGTTTTGAAGTAAAGAATGAATGTGTCACTAACCAGGTAATCTATTGTTTATCTTCCTGCTGTCCTGTGCTTCTGACCTCCCGTCTCCTGTCAGATGCGGCTCATGTGATGTGGTTTGAAAAGCTTCATGTGTGGCTGTTGTTTCTGGAAAAGAACGTGCTCTACCCGCTGGTCATCCTAAACGAGCTGAGYGGCAGTGCCAAGGAACTCGCAAGCCCAAAGAAACTCGATACAGAGTGAGGATTTTTAATATTTTTCCAATGTTCTCAAGTCTCTGCTAGAGTTAGACTGGACAAATATTTTGGCCATCAACCTCTGGAKTCTGTTGGCAGTAGCGTTCAAATTTATTTTTAAGATGACAAATTTAGTGGTTAAATTAGTAMCAACTGCAGTGAAAAGTTAATCTTTTTATAATAACAATTGTCAAAGTACATTTAGAATAAAAAAATAGGTTGAACAAACCAGGTGTCAGATAATCWTGATGGTAGCTAGGTAAGTAAAAAACTAAAATGAAAAATGTGGTCACTCTTGTGTTGCTTAAAACAACTTTTTCAATGGCTTTAAATATGAAATATGAACTTTAATTTTRATCTACATTTTTAAGTATAAAAATTACTCATTTTTAGTTAAAAATTGTTTCAAGTCCACAAAATTACATAAAACTTAAAAAAATGCTGCTTCTACAGGTAATCTACTGTAAATGAGGAGCTGTGTTGTTTGACCAAAGTGATGTCACACAAGCTCYGCCTCCTTCAGGAGCTCTGAATGTAAAGTCAAACTGATTTTCATGCAGTTTGTTGAAAATGGCATGTTTTGGCCTCACTTACAAAAACATTTAGAAATTTGTTGGATATTCATACTGCATATGACAAACTATCAAATTAAAGTTATTTAMAGAGTTGTAAAGTAACTACAGTAAGTAGAGCTGGGCGGTATSACCCAAATTTTATATCACGGTATTTTCAACAATTACACCGGTTTCACGGTATTTGACGGTATTATTTCCCCTCACAGCTCAGCTGATAATAAAATGTACAAACTTTGCTTATTGACTTTTTTCTTTTACTGTACCTCTGTATCACTGTTTCCCTCCTCTTGTACGTCTTTTCTTCTTTGCCTGGTTGTAGACAGTAAYCATGCATTTAGGTCCGATTGTGAAGGGTTGAGAAAAAAATCATTATCTGGTCTATYGTTGCGTGTTAATAAAACTTAAAARGACGACTCACCTTGCACCCCAGTCAACTTCGCTACACTATAAAACTACTTCCCAACCGGGCTTTTCACCGAAGCACGCTAAAGTCTCCATGCAATAACATCTCCGTTATGACGTAGCGCGTTAAATCTAACTGTGCACATCACTAAAGAGWTGTTTACTACATTCAGCGATGTGAAAACGGGATTTTTAAWTTTTTTTTAACATCAGACCATATAAGCAGCTGAAACACACCACCCGCCGTCAGTTGTTCCAACAAAAACTTTAGCATGCTAATGCGCTTAGCGGTGCTTCAAGGAAACGTGTCCCCAGGGAAACAGTTCATTGGCGGCCGCGACAAAATGTTCCGCACGTGTTCAGGCTGTTTACACTGGTATTCAGAAAAGTCATATAACAAAAATAAAAACCGGTTTTTGGTACAAAACGGTATACCGCCCAGCACTAACTGTAAGTACAAATACTTTGTTACTGTACTTAAGTAGAATTTTTGGGTATCTGTACTTTACTTGAGTAATTATTTCTCAGCCTACTTTTTACTTCTACTTCTTACATTTTCACACAATTATCTGTACTTTCTACTCCTTACATCTTTTTAAAAGGCAAGAAGTAGAAAGTCGTTACTTTTATTTCATTTTTGCTTGTTTTCATTCCAGCTTGTATTTTTAAAAAAGAAATACTATCCATATAAATTATGTCAAATTTGCCTCTATAGTCATGGCCGAAAGTGTTGGCACCCCTGAATTTTTTCCAGAAAATTAAGTATTTCTCCCAGAAAATTATTGCAATTACTCATGTTTTGTTATACACATGCTTATTTCATTTGTGTGGATTGGAACAACACAAAAGAACAGAGGAAAAAAGGCAAACTTGACATAATTTTACACAAAACTCCAAAAATGGGCCGGACAAAATTATCGGCACCCTCAACTTAATATTTGGTTGCACACCCTTTGGAAAAAATAACTGAAATCAATAGCTTCCTATAACCATCAACAAGCTTCTTACACCTCTCAACTGGAATTTTGGACCACTCTTCTGTTGCAAACTGCTCCAAGTCTCTCATATTTGAAGGGTGCCTTCTCCCAACAGCAATTTTAAGATCTCTCCACAGGTGTTCAATGGGATTTAGATCCRGACTCATTGCTGGCCACTTTAGAACTCTCCAGCGCTTTGTTTCCATCCATTTCTGGGTACCTTTTGAAGTATGTTTGGGGTCATTGTCCTGCTGGAAGACCCATGTCCTAGGACGCAAACCCAGCTTTCTGACACTGGGCCCTACATTGAGACCCAAAATCCTTTGGTAATCTTCAGATTTCATGATGCCTTGCACACAGTCAAGGCACCCAGTTCCAGAGGCAGCAAAACAACCCAAAAACATCTTTGAACCTCCACCATATTTGACTGTAGGTACTGTGTTTTTTTCTTCGTAGGCCTCATTTCGTTTTCGGTAAACAGTAGAATGATGTGCTTTACCAAAAAGCTCTATCTTGGTCTCATCTGTCCACAAGATGTTTTCCCAGAAGGATTTTGGCTGACTTACATCCATTTTGGCAAACTGCAGTCTAGCATTTTTATGCCTCTGTGTCAGCAGTGGGGTCCTCCTGGGTCTCCTGCCATAGCGTTTCTTTTCATTCAAATGCCGACGGATAGTTCGAGCTGACACTGATGCACCGTGTGCCTGCAGGACAACTTGAATATCTTTGGAACTTGATTGGGGCTGCTTATCCACCATCCGTACTATCCTGCGTTGCAACCTTTTATCAATTTTTCTCCTCTGTCCACATCCAGGAAGATTAGCTCCAGTGCCATGGGTTGTTAACTTCTTGATTATGTTGTGCACCRTGGACAAAGGAACATCAAGATCTCTGGAGATGGACATGTAACCTTGAGATTGTTGATATTTTTCCACAATTTTGGTTCTCAAGTCCTCAGACAGTTCTCTTCTCCTCTTTCTGTTCTCCATGCTTAGTGTGGCACACAATGCAAAGATCGAGTCAACTTCTCTCCTTTTTTTCTGGTTTCAGGTGTGATTTTTTTAATTGCCCACACCTGTTACTTATCACAGGCGAGTTTGAATGTGCATCACAAGCTTGAAACAAAGTTTTTTACCCTCAATTTTGAAAAGGTGCCAATAATTTTGTCCAGCCCATTTTTGGAGTTTTGTGTAAAATTGTCAAGTTTGCCTTTTTTTTCCCCTCTGTTTTTTGTGTTTTCCAATCCACACAAAGGAAATAAACGTGTATAACAAAACATGTGTAATTGCAATAATTTTGTGGGAGAAATACTTAATTTTCTGGAAAAAATTCAGGGGTGCAACACTCTCGGCCATGACTGTAAATTGTGCCTCCTAGATAGGGTGAATTTAATTGTGGTTGAATGAGAAGTATAATTATATAAAATTCTGATACTGTATTAGTTTGTACACAAATAAATCATGCAATAAATGTCATTATGAAAAATCTAACTGCTCATTTTAAAATCAATACTTTTACTTGTACAGAAAATATCAGATATCAAGACTTTTACTCAAGCAAAATTCCTAAAGCAGACTTTAACTTCTACCAAAGTAATTTTTTGGTAAAATACTTGTACTTTTACTTAAGTATCACCTTGTGGTACTTTACACAACCCTGGTTATTTGACAAACTGAAGWAGCTTTCATATGACCTTTAAGCTCATCACTAGTTTGACCAGTGTTTGGCTGAGTATTTRTTTATAATTGGATGTTTTCCACCCTAGGGTTGGTGCACTGATGATCACTGTAGCTGGCCTGAAGCTGCTTCGTTCATCTTACAGCAGTCCGACCTATCAGTACGTCACCATCCTCTTYACCATCCTGTTCTTCACCTTTGACTACCGTCATCTGTCTGAGACGCTGCTGCTGGACCTCTTTCTAATGTCCATTGTTTTCAGTAAGGTGAGAGAAGTGCATAAAATGTACAATTTGTTTTGTATACAAGAAACTTGCACACTTTTTTAAATGATCCTAAATTTTTGAAAGAGCAGCTGTGCTTTTATTAAACTGATTAACTCAGTTTGTGGGACTTTAAATGCAGCTTCTTGTTTCTTTACAAAAATTTGTTTTTTTTTCTGTTTTATTCAGTTATGGGAGCTGTTTTACAAGCTACACTTTGTCTACACCTACATCGCTCCATGGCAGATCACGTGGGGCTCAGCCTTCCACGCCTTTGCTCAGCCCTTTGCTGTGCCTCGTATCCTTCTAAACATTAACTGTTCACTAAATCTCTGTCTTTATAGGTTCGCTACACTCATTCCCACTGGTGTTTTAGTGTCTGGTGCCAAAGGTGCCTGTGTTTGCTCAGATTGTCTGTACATTTAGCAAAATATCTTGTGAATCACTGATCACATTTAAAGAAACTTTCAGAAAGTAATCATAAGATGGAGACATGTTTGGAATCAACTTGAATCAAGATATCTGTCCAACAAACATTAGAAGATTCAAAATCAGCTTTGACTCAACCAGATTCTTTATAGTATAAATTTTGAGTAACTGAGCATTTGTCCTCAATGCGCACAGTACTTTGTGAACACCACGTTATAAAACTTATTAGCCGACAACTGTGGTAATAACTACTGGAGTCAATCCTTTTTGTCTGTTAGCAAATCATTTAATGAACCAATAACTATTGGAGTCAATCCTTTTTGTCTGTTAGCAAATCATTTAATGACCCACTGGACAAATTTCAGCGAGACTCCATCCACCTACCGGTATCTATTTTTTTTATCTGTTGTTTGGAACTGGGCCTATCTCCAGTGGTCATTGTGCAAAAGGCAGGGTACACCCTGAACAGATCTCCATTCCATCACAGGGACACAAAGACTAACAAGACATTAACTTTTTACACTCTGGCTTACACCTAGAGAGACAATTTAGAGCAACCTAACGCATGTTTTTGGTCCGTGGAAGGAAACCGGATGACATAGAACCTAAAACCTTGTTGAGAGGCAACAGCACTAACGAAAGTAATAAATGTAACTATGGTTCTATGAATCCCGGATGACCGCCAGAGGCAGTGCTTAAAGCACTGAATGATCATTCTTGCGCATGCGCAGGTCGAGTATCTTATGTTAACATAGTCACGTGTGACCCCCGGTGACACCCGTAGTCTATATAGTCAYGTGACAAGGTAGCTCAGTCCCTTAATCTTCTCATGAAAACACRATGATTCCGAGGGACCGGACGCTCTGGCGGTCATTCGGGATTCATAGAACCGTAGTTACATTTATAACTTACGTTCCGTTTCATCCCTACTGACCGCCAGAGGCGTTGATTAAAGCGCTGAATGACGATTACCAGCAGAGTCCTGAGGAATCACAAAAAAGAAAAACAAGCRWAAGGAATGCCCACCTCACTGAGAAGAAGAGGAGTGCTGCAACAAGACCCCCTCCAACGGGTGCAGGACAGCCAGGTTCACACTGTAGAACCTAGCAAATATATTTGGGGATGACCAGGAAGCTGCTGCACAAATAGCCTCCAAAGGGACCCCAGTCATTGCAGCCCATGAGACACTAATGCTCCTGGTCGAATGGCACCRCACCCCCGCAGGTGGTTGGCGGCCTTGTAGAGTGTACGCCTGTTCCACCACATCAACAACCCAGCGTGCAAGATGCTGTTTTGAAAGGGCCTACCTTTTGCGAGGCCCTGCATAGCACATAAATAAACTATCAGACTGTCGCAGAGAAGCTGTCCTTCTGATGTATGCTTCCAGGGTTCGAACAGGGCAAAGAGGTTCACYAGCGCTACCTGTTTCAAAACAAGCTAGCTGGAGAGGTAGAGAGTGGCTCACAGACGAGGCCACTTTGGGGAGGAATGCTGCATTGGGCCAGAGAGTGACACCAGAACCAGCTGGATTCCACCTGCAGCAGGATTGGTGAACTGAGAACGCATGAAGCTCACCTACACGTTTGGCTGAAGTAGGCCTGTCACGATAACAAATTTTGCTGGGCGATTAATTGTCTCAAAATTTATTGCGATAAACGATAATATTGCCTGG